TCAATGGCCTTTTTGGGGTGAGGGGCCCAACACTGAACCCCCTCAGCGAGGGGCGGCCTCCCCAGTGCCGAGCCCAGGGCTCAGGTCCCTTCCTTGTCCCTGCTGGCCACGCCAGTGCTGATGCGAGAGGCAACAAGGGCTACGTGCCAGCCCTGCAGCGCTCCGGGAGCTTCGCTCCCCCGCTGGCACCTTGCCTTTCCCCCGGGAGCCGGAGGAGCCGCAGCAGCCGGAGCCGCGCCGCTTCCCGCCCTTTGCGGGGCCCCGCGCTGAGGCGGCAAATGGCGGCCGCACGATGGCGCCGTCCCGCCGGGCCGCCCGCGCCTTATGCCGGCAGCGCTGAGAGGAGCCGAGGCCGCGCCGCCCCGAGGCTTCGCCCTCCACCTCCTCAACGGAGGGAAAAACAGTTAAAGATGTTGCTACGTCCGCTGCAGTGCACAGCAGCCATTTTATTCCAAAGGTGCTTAACTTCCCACTGACTTCCAGAAAGGAGAAAACATAAAATGTGGGGTTTGTCTTTGGAAATCTCCTCAGCAATGATTTGCTCGGGGTCACATGCTGAAACTGCACAAAACCCCCTTTGAATCAAGCCCTAAAAAAACCCCCTCATTAAAAAGTTTAAGCCCTTGTTCCTCAAAGTTAGGTTCACGTAACTAGCCCATACTTTCCAAGCTGTCTCGTGTTGGGCCGTTTTGAGGCAATTTCTGCTCACCGGCCCTATACCGTGTTTGATCCACCTCGCACAAAGCCTCGAGGAACCCAGCAGCAAAAGATTTGTGTCATTCACTGTGGGTTTTTGCACATCACAAAAGGCTACAAGGTCCCCTGCAGGGTAATAACTCCAGAGAAAGACAAAATACGATCTTAAAATCCTCATCGTGTTCTCAGCGGTGAGAATTTTCATTGCGGAAAATTCAGCGATTTTCTAGTCTTTTGGAGGATGAATTTCAGACTGAACTCTTACAGGTTTAAAACAGGCGATTCATATAGAGGTGGAATTCTAGTTAAGAAAACTCTGAAAAGGCTTAAGCTGACTTAAAATTGTACCAGAATGCTATTGTTCTGATTTTTATTTAGCTTCTCTCTCTGAGTATCTCAAGGGAAGCCACTAAAGCAGAACCATCTCGGTCTGTCCTAGGGATGTGGTTCCAAGAAGGCGGTCATTCCAAATTAAAAACAAAGATTGAAACAGAGCTGTGTAGACAAAAAAGCCCAACATAACGTAATTCCAGCAGCAACGAAGAAGCATTGACAGCAAATAAATATAGATTTTGTAACAGAGAGCACATAACGCTCAGGAAGCATCAAGGCAATTACAACACGGCGATAGGAAACTTAATGGAGGAGCAGTGTCTTCGTAACGACGTGGGACAATATCTTTAAAATGGACTTTATGAACGGTAACACTTGTTTTACACAACACATTTAACTAATTCAATTGGCAAACCATTTGACTTTATTTCAGTCAATATTTGAAATCTATAAAATTGCCAGTGAGGGCTCAATGCTGTAACGCTGCCTGAAATCAACAGTCCATTGAATACAGCGTGGAGATAATGAGTTGGGGGATGTCTACATTTATACTGGCTTCTTCTTTTCCTCAAACCAACACTGAGCAATTTGTTATAAAAGCTTATGTGTTTCATACCACATAATTTCTTTTCAGAATAGTAATAACGCAACAGATAAGACCACACTGTTGGTTAACCTCATGTACTCTTTCAATAGGAAAGTCATTATTCCAATGAGACTCGTTAATAATAGTAAGCTGTAGGTTCCCCAGCTCTGGGGGATTCACTTAATCAAATTGTTGAGACTAAATAATTAGGTATGTAACTGTGAGTTTAAATGACCTATTGGCAAATTAATCCCTGATGCAACTCCACAGTCATCTACAGGTTTAATTCTAGCTCCATCTCTGCGGCTTCTTGAGGCCAAATTGGTTAACGGTGCCTTGGTGGCACAGAACTGCTGCATTTCTGCCTTGCGGTGGGCACAGAGGCGAGGCTAGAGAGTGGCTTCCAGAGTCATCCTCTCTAGCATGGATTGGATGACAGAGGGCAAGCCAGGAGGGAAAAGAGATTTGCCCACTGCATCTATAATTACACAGAAGAGTAACCACAAAACCTTGCAGTGGGGGTGTGGGATGGTTACAATCCTTATTTAAGCAGAGAAACTATGACAGGAACCAGAGAGACTTTGCTCCATTGAGAGCAACTTTGTTGTTGTTGTTTTTTACTGTTCAAATCATCTAATAAATGTCTAATCATACCCTAATCTTCGGAGAGCAAACACCAGGCAATGATTTATGTTCATGAGCAACATCTCATTAAAGTGATTAATATATTCCTTCACAAGGCAGGAAACAAATATTTCTACTCTCAGATTTTATTCTTACCTCCACAACTTCCTCATATTCTTCTTCCTCCATTCTGAGGTTATTCTTCTGTCTCTCCCCCACTCACTGGTCAGGCAGCAAATGAAAGGGTGAATATGCAGTATTAGCCCAAGACTGACAGTACTATGAAAAGCTACTAGTCAAGTTCATAAAGCACCTGGGGTCACGGTCAGTAACTACTCAGATTATTACAGAGTTGTTGGACCATCAGTGAAAGAACTTGAACAACACCGAGAAATGAAGTTGAGATCTGGCATTATTTTGATTATTGTGGGAAAGCATTGGATTAAGTTTCAAACATACTGATGTAGATTACAATTTTGGACAAATATTTTCTTTTAATAGTGGTAACACCAATACTGGAATTCAATGAAAATAAAAAATTTAAAAAAAAATAAAACAGAGGAAGAGATTTCTTGAAATATGATTTGATTTTTTTCATTACAACAAAATTATTTGAAAAATGTTTCTTTTCTCTGTGACTAGTCTGTGTTATTTCATTACATTATTCAAGCTCCTGTTTGAATGGGAGCTTTGTCTGTATATTCTACTACATTCATTCATAAGTAAAAGCATAACGTACAAAAAAATTGTAAATATTTTTTTTTTTAAGTGACCTTAGGTTAATGAGGCAATTTCTGTCTTCCCAGCATTAGCTTATATAGATGCTCTGGGGTTTGGGGTTTTTTTTTAGCTCCTGTGGCTTTTTTTTCTCTATTTCTTCAGACCTGGAAAATAGGAAAATCCATATAGCTGGCTGAATTATAAAGCACAGATTACTGTGAAAACCTTTAAAGGAATTAATTAACACAATGATTTTGCTAAGAGGCAAAGCTACAATTTTCCACCAGAGGCTACAGCCCTGTTTCTAATGTTGGTAGGGGATGAGGCTTTGGAACAGCTGTTTCTGAGTCCAAAGATATTTGCCGTGTAAGCTAATACTACCAAATGACGGGGTGGTTTTGTTTAGCTGGCTAAACTGCAATTCCTTCTGAGGCAAGTGAAGTCTAGTAATGCAGGTTTTAAATATAGGAACGTAGAATACTGTCCCTTTTAAGTGTGTTGAGAAAAATTACCCCTCAAAAATTCAGTTTGTTAAACCAGAACGTTAATGATTAAAATAAATTCAGAGTAACTCAGTAAGCGGCACGTTGTATGAAAAAGTAGGGCAAATTTAGTAGGGATTGCATATAAGGATACAATCTGTACAAACTGTCACTATTATAACCTTCAGTTTACACTTCCAAAACCCAGTTCCAAGTCCTTTCCTCTTACTGCAATTTGCAACCTGTCATCCAGACAGAAAATCTGACTTCCACGGGCAAGGAACAACGACTGCTCCCAAAAAACTACAGAATCAGGAAACGGCTCAAGATCCTTTTCTAAGGGATAAAAGTCAAACGTGATTAAAATGCTCTTACCAGCAACATCTAGTAAATATCCTTAGGAGCAAAGCCTCTCCAGTCTTCCCTCCTGAGCAGCACTGGGCGAGAGCGAGCCTGGTGCATCGGCTCCTAATGACGCATGTGGCTAGCACAGCCAATCTGGCTCCAGCTCGCTCGAGTTTCAGCCCTAAATATACTTGGTGACCCCGGAGGAGGCCACCTGTTCTCGGCAACATGAAGGAAAAGGGAGCGGGGCACTTCTTGCCTCCCGAGGAAACCCAAAACACACCAGAGCTTGACTCAACTTCACCAGGTCTCTGCTGAAATGGGTCCCTAGGCAAATCCAAGGAAGCACTGAAATGGAAAAACCAGGCACATTTTCTTCTTTCAGAATTGATAGTAATAATGAATTTGAACTGACAGTTTTGTTCCTAAATTGTACCTGAATCAAAACTACAAAAATCCAAGAATCTCTGAACTTAAAGGAAAGAGGAGTCTGGACTTCAAACTACATTTTTAGTATAAGTCTATCTTTAATTTTATCCCTAAGTCTACCTGAAGTGCATTATCAACTTAACTTGATGCAAACCACGTGTCAGTGTTTTTATCACTTCTCCTGAAACGTTAAATAGCTGAACACATGGACCTGGGAACTGACTACTGACAAGGAAAAACTTGGAAGGAACCCGATTAACAGCCAATATGTCTGGTGAGGAAAGGCTAAGAATACATGATAAACAGATTAAGTGACAGGGGAGCAATTCTAACACACAAACTATTTTGGAAGGTCAAGAATTGCATGATGTATGGCGTGGAGTCACGGTGCTGATAATGGGGCTCATCTCTTAGGTCAGCTACTTGCCTACACTCACATAATCGGATTGCTTTAGTTGTTCAAGGAGGCGCATTTAAAAGCCAATACCAACAACGATCTCTCTTCACATACTGTATCACATAATTCAATAAATGCTTGTCAGGAGTCCTTGAGAGACATCTTCTTGTTCCTTAACTCTTTCCAGAAGTTAATATTTATATCCAGATGAAATATCATATCTCATTCACTACTGCCAAGTATTTTATACTCTGCACAGAGATGTAGATCCTTTCCTTTCTCCTTTAGGCGAGCTATATGCTTTCAATTACTTCGCATTTTGCTTTACTAGGCAATCCTTCCCCTTTTAATCTTATTTCTGTTTATTTAAAAGTCCTTCAGCTTCTTAACATCTTTTGAAGATGTCCAGAAATGAATATAGCATGTTGATGGAGTCTCACGAGAGCAATGTCAGCTTAACCTTCTGCTCTCCAATCCAGATCCTCTGTGTGTGCATTCCTGAAATAACTGACAGAGTCATTTTCCCCCAAGTACGGCTTTTCAGTTGACTGCGTGGATAATGTGACATGTATGTAAGTGATGACAAACGTTTATCTGATGAAAGGCCAATTTTTTTTAATATAACATGTAATTCATTATTGCCGTTTCCAGCTCAAATCTCCATTGATGCCAAAATTAGCACCAGGGCTGACGACTAACCATCCCCCTTCTTGGGTTCAGGGCCTCTTTTTCAGACTCAACTGTTGTACTAGACATTGCTCTTCCTGTAAATGGCATTGCCCCATAGTCACTGCTACAATACTGGATATGATTATGCCTCATCCCAATCACCTAACTTAAATCAGGTTTGCTAGATCAACAGAAGCTTGTATTCCTCTGTCCTGGTGGTTATTCTGACAAAATTAGCAGGTATTTTCAAATGGGATACAATTTTCTGTGCAGTTCTCTTGCAAGTTCCTGCGATCAATTTCTCCCTTAGTGATATACTCCACAACTCCTAGGTTACCAGGACATCACCTTCAGATTCTTTTACAGTTCTGTTCAATATATCTTATTCAGAAAGACACTAAAAAAGGCCAAAGTTACATGCAGGATGCAAGTGCCACTGTTTCTGCCACTGAAATGCAGCTGTCTGGTGTGAAACACAGCGGATCTTTAGCAGCAGACAGCTCAGGGCTGGAGACAAAGCATGGAAACACCCATCAAAATTACAGAAGGGGTTTAAGAACCAGAAGTATTATTGTGGGAACAAAAAGTTGTACAGAATGTAACACCTATGTTCTGACATCAGAACATGGAAAGGGGAGGGGAGTGCTCTTAGGTCACCTACAGCTGCCAGCAAGTCTTTCAATTCTTACATTTGCTGCTTTGCTCCTTCAGCTCCAGATCTCAGGGAAAAACTCTGACAAAACTATCACTACTAGCTTCATTTTTATTTAAAACTGAACGAAAACTCACTACCTTTTCTGTGATTTCTACTCAAGTCCACAATTTTGTTGCTGAAAATTAGGTTTTCACTTGTTTAAGCGCTTTTATCTATATAGGACACATATCAATAAATGGATCTTTACACACCTGCCTATATATAGGTATTATATATGTACAAATAACAACTTAAACACATGCACACATACATTCTGTACATTTGTCCTCACTGTGAAAATAAACTACTATGCTCAGTGTTATGTTTCACATCATTCACTTCTCAGGACTGTTAAAATGTCAATGATACATATTCATATCGAAATATCAGCAAGTATTGCCTACTGAAGTGGAATACTAATGGTTAATAGTCTTTTAATATTTTTTAAAATTGCTTTATTATGAAAATCTGTGTCTGTGACTCAGATTTCAAGGCACTGCTGGAATATTCTGCAAATACCAGCTTGACTTTCTAGGGGACAAATGTTTCAAAGGCATTAGGAAAATTCTGCTGTAGGTGACAGCCTGGCAGTTCTGATACAGGTTAGCACACCAGAACCAGATTGTTTTATCCACAGTACATAAATATGCATATGCTCAGCAGTTTTGAACTAAAAAGACAGAATGCAAGATGACTAAGGTAGAGGAAGGTGGTGTTTTGCATTTAAACGCCCCAACATTTCAAAGCAGAAAACATTTTCTTGTACTTAACTTTTTAAAATATTAAGTTCAATCAGTCCTACTTATCAAACAGTAACCACTCAGGGCAGGGGGTAAGGAAGGAAATAATGTGACCTTCTCTAGATTTATTTAGAAGGTATTTAATACAAGAACTATGAAATAGCAGCCTACTCGCTCTCCTAACCCCCACAGCATTCACATACAAAAAATAACCTTTTTTTTTTTCCCCCTAAAACTGCATTTAGTTTGTTTTGGGAGGCAGACTTCCACCTATGAAAAATACATCAGCCAATCCTGGAGCCTGATCACTACAGAGGATCAGTATGTAAGGACCATAGGGCAGCCACACTGTAACCCCCTCACCCCCAAAAGTCAGAACTGTTACAGCAATTCTCGTTTTCTACAACCTCCCTGACAGTTAGTGATATCTGTGTATTGTCTCGATCATTCGTTCCCTTGTATTTCTTTTATAGTGCATCACGCTCTAGATCACGAGGTAGAGTTTGGAAGAATTTTAATAAGCCAAGGCCAGATCCCACGTCACGAATACCACTGAACACCAACTCTGCGATTGCTTCTTGAAGACAACCACTTCAAGACTCAAGAGACTTTCTACCCATCTTTGCATCAGTTTGACAGAAAATTACACAGGAAATCTGTTCTGCCAGAGATTACATGGGCTTCGCTGTGTCGGCCCTTTGTGTGGATAAGCTTACTGACATCATGGGTACTATATTTAACCTCCTGAGGTAATCAGTAGACCACCCGGACTTAACAAGCATCGTATCATTGAAAAAGGTCATATTTCAATACATATTTGTGTAATTATGTCTATTTTTAAACTACCATTAGTAAGTTACTTCTTATTCTTTTTGCCATTCCTTTCCATCTAGTAGATTTTGCACAGGAAAGCTGGAAAAAAAGAGTAATCTTGTACTTTAGCATTTACAAATCTCTCACCTAAACTAATCAAGTGTCCAAAATTTTCCCTTAGAGTGCAGTCTCCATCAGAAATCTAAAAAAGCACTGGTGACTATACGACATGAAATGTATGTCGCCTGCGATGTACAATCTGCAAGACACTAATATTCAACCTGGAAACAATCCAGAAGCCTTAAACATGAAATCCATTTAGTCTGGGAGGAAAGCATTAACTGAAGAGCACAACATAAGCTTCGGAGCCCTAAAAATAAAGTAATTCTTGTTAGATAAGCTGTTACCAGCCTCTGTCGGGAGGCCCACAAGCTATAGTTGTATTTGCACTCCAGGGAGCCAAACGGTAGAGGAAACAGGTATAGAAAATGTGTTATAGAAATACCACTAGTAACAGAGAAGAGAGTAAAAAAGGGAGTTAGGTAAGGGGTTTCCCTCACTGTACTGTTCTTACAAGGGCTTACTGTTATCCAGCATTTATTGTACCTTCCCAAGAGGTGGGAGAGGGTCCTCTAAGGAGGTGGAGAATGAACCGTGACCTACCCACTGCCGTAATGACATCAGGACAGTGCCAGCACAGTTCTAAGACACTCATGCCAGCATGAGCATTCCAGTAGGACAGTATCTTGTATTTTCCCCCAGAGAACATTTACCAGATTGAGCCCCATATAGGCTTGACTATACATGGTTTCTAGATCCCAGGTGCAAAGGTACTCATCGATACCAGGACTGAAATAGCTAAGGGGGCGTTCTCCCAATTTAGGGAACCTCAGTGGATCTGACCTGCTACAGTGGTAGAAGCATCTGAAGAAACCATTTTCAGGAATTCCAAACTGAATTTGTATGTCACTTAAGTTGGCAGTGTAACGTTGATGGAGCAAAGAAATATCTGCACTTGGAATAAATACATGCCATACATCTCTGCAATTTCTGTAACTGTCGTGCAGCCTAGTAACTAAGACATGGTTTAGGTGTACAAGGAAAGGAAAAGACATGCTCTCCTAGGACTAAATATCGTTATTTCTTACTATTTGCCTTATTTTTTCTAGATAACATGCAGCAAAAGTGGCATATCATCTTAGAACTATGCAAAAGCCACATCACAAGAACTTCAGCTACATTCAAGGAAAAGAAAAGCTTACACAAGGAACTTGTGTATTTTTAATGGTCCAACTAAGCTTTCTCTTCATAAGCTGCAGGTGCAAAACTGACAGTTGAGGATATGAAACATAGAAACGTGTTTCTCCTTTT